CAACCATCTCTCGTAGTCTGGGTGACCTGTGCCACGTACGGTGACGTGAAACCATTAATGCCGGCCACATGTGAGCTTTGATCACAAACAGTTTTTAACGGCACAAACAAAGTTACCTCTGAGTTAAACAAAAATGGGTAATGGACAGCTAAGAATATAGCAAACAAAGGATCATGTTCAGTGTTGGGGGATAACTGATATAAACTTACATGTAAACAAATATATTGAAAACTGATGTAATGTGTGACAGTGTGTGACGAGATCTTGTATATTACATGAATAAACAGAGGTAAACCATTCACTTCAGATAGTAATAAATGTAAACAAAGAAAGCACTTCAACAAAAGCACTTTAACAAACTTATATAAGACCAATTTCGCATAAGCTTGAAATAAAATTAAAACGAGCGTACCTCGACGTTGATCGACGCTCTGCGACACCTTCACAGATCTCCAAATTCAAATATGTCCTTCGCCATCCATTCTTTGGGAAAACCACATTTGTTTTGCACCGGCCATGTGGGTAATGAAGAGGCCATGAAATACAGTTAATTCCACAGTGCAGATCGCCAAAAGGACCGAAAAATACCCTCTTAAACTCGGACCACATAACGTGTCGCGCTAAAAAGCCGTCCGTTAATTTGTAAGTGGAATGAACGATGACAGAACACATGTGATTGTTACGTTTCCTCTGCGAGCTCTGATTGGTCAAAGTTCTGAGTGCGGGAAGTTTGCGCGCGCCCATGCGACAGGAAGTGTCGTGTTAATAAATCGATATTCGAGAAGAAACGCATTTCTTTTTTTAAAATAGTTTGTCATCACACAGGCTCTAAAAAATAACATGGCGTATAAAAATCAATGACACTTGACCTGAAAAGATGAGGATAGTTTCTACAGAAAAGACACATTTCAATCTCTTCATTTAAGAAGCTTGTTAGATCATAGTTGGGTCTTACGAAGCTGTGTATTTTAACAGTAGTTAACTGTTTATATCACTTTCTGCATAGCAATGGAGGTAGTAGTGTAAGAAATTTTACTCTTAGTTTAGTAATTTAATATACGGTTTTTATGTGTCAACACGCCCTCGCAGGAACCAGCAGAGTGCTTTTGCGGCCAGCGTGTTTCACTTGTAATTTGAATTTTTGAATAAAGTATTTCCTATCTACCTTCTTATTCCTGGCGGTAGACCATGTGAGGCAATCACACGGACTTTAGATGAAACCTCAATTAACGTCAACATGGCTGAGACGTCACTGGCCCCACTTAAGACGAAGACCGGTCCTCCTCCAAATCAATTGGATCGGGGCCCTGGTTTGCGGACTCTCTGTTTAATACTGATAACCGCTTTCAATAAACTCTTTTCAACTATGATTAAACCGCTCATGAATGCGGATACCGGGTAACACGGAGAAAGGACCTGACACTTTAACTGCCTGAACTGGAATGCGATCACAACTAGCACAGTAGAAAAAGGTATCTTGCGTCGGTAGCGTCACAGCGCCGATGTAACTGAATTGGGCCAAATTTTAATGCGTCTGGAAAGCACTTAAAGCAATGAGTCGGATTGCGGGCCTGCAGCGCCGGCTGCACGCGCCGCAACGGAGCGTTGATGCCTATTGTATTTAAAAATATCCAATGGCAAGTGGAAAATAAGTAAACGGAAATGCACACGTATACCTTCTGTTTAAATGTTGTGCGCGGGAGCCCGATGGAATTTGCTAGGATGAGCCAATCGCAACTTGAAGGTAGACGAGGCAGGCGAATATAAGTTATCAAAAGTAGGAAATTAGGGGTTGGGGCGAGGAGAAGGGAATTAAAAAATGGATCATATATCCATAAAATACGCACCCTAGGTACTAAAAATAGTAATGAATAAGCGACATAGCTTGCTATCTTGCCTATCTTTTTTTTTCTAGCAGACAAAACAATTTCAGCAACACACTAGTACTAGATCCCATCCCTTCCTCTTTTGAAGCAAGTTGACTGAGTTCAAATTCACTCCGAACCAAAACGAAACTCGCCTTCTAATTTCACGGCCTGTGTTCAACTCTTCCCCTCTTCACAGTCACAATTCTCCTCTTTTCTCTCCCAACCCATCCCTAAGTTTTTGGGGCCACCCTCTTCTGAGTTTCGTAAGGTTCTGTGATACACGTATTTTTCGTCACGCGTTCCTTTCCCACGAACTTTTTTTTGTAATTCATCTTAAAACCACCAAGGTTGCTGAGTCTATATTGTATATTTTTACTAGTGGAAGGTACCTTTCAACAATTCTTTTCACTTCCACGCAAAACACTAGCTTTGGGTGAAGGAGCGATATGTACGTGCACTTCAACAATATGTAGAGACCATTTGTGAACTCCGTCAGACGTACTAAGTTGAAGTAGATAATAGATCCTTGACATCAGCTTGAGATGTAAGTTCTCGTTCTCTAAATTTCATCCTTTTTGCTTTATAATACTGATAATACTTCGCAAGTGCACGTGAACTACAACGAATTTCCCTTCACAACGGCTTCAGCCAGTTCAGTTAATTGCATGTTGTTCTCGCAGCTTGCAACGCCATAGGTACTTAATTGCTAAAGAGCTGAAAGAAGCAGAAGATTTAGAGACCTAACTACAACGAGGCTACAAGTGCAACGTTATTGATATGAAAATGATTTTTTGTTCTAAGGCAAATGAAAATGAATTTCACAAGAAAGATTTTGCACTCTGTGTCGTTTTGAAAGTGAGAGTTTTTGTGACTCGGAAAAGGGAAAAGGGAAAAGGGCGCGCACAAATCAATAAGAGGACAATGATGACGAAGCGTGGTGTAAATGCAAGATCGAAATAAACAGGTAATGTGAAAGTATAAGGGACATACGTTACTCAAAAATATGAAAACTTGGAACCGATTTTTTTTGTTTTTGGGGTTGAAGAATGAATCCAAAACGATCTGGATTTCCATGTCTCTCAAAGAGACATAATCCACATGATTTTCCGATGACAAATGGTACGTACTATTGTTTCCGTTGAAAAGAAACCTTACAAAAGGCACTACATACATACAAACTGCCGGTATATGATTTAACTGTCAAAGTCTTCGAGCATGCTCAAGGAGGCCCACTAATCCGGAATACTTAACTTCACTTACTGTTGTTTTCGTTGAAAAAGCTTCCGAATGCAAATAAATTATACTTAATTCAATTAGCCTGAATATCAGTAATTCCTAAGGGGCTAGGGGAGAGGAGATTTTAGATGGAGCCCTTTTTTGCTTCCTTCTTTCCCCTTTTCCCCAGAAACGCCTGATACTCAGGCTATAATTCAAGTTACCCCTTTGACACTTCATCTCTATCTTTAGCCCAAGACGACAAGCACCAGATAGAGGCGATGCTTATGCAATGGTGAGAGTGGGCCTGGGGCAGGTACTGGTACCACTTTCTTTCTCCTCGGGATGGCATAAAGAGGGGTGGTGCAAATGTGGTACGGGTGGTCTCTTTGATACTTGCTGGAAACACCGTGGAAAATGAAGAGCTGGAAACTGACAGATGAACTCACTGAAAATGGAATTGTAGTACTCACTCAGCTAACCGTGTGTGTATTTCACAGGAAATATGAATAAAAAGAAACTTTTATTTTGCCCGTACTTTGTTTTCAAGGACTTTATGCTGCTATTTTACATATCTTTCCGAGTTCAAGTGACAACTGTTACTAAAGTTGTGCCATTATGCTCAGTGCTTCACAATATTAGGCTTATTCTTTATCCTCATAGAATTTGACTATTATGCCCAAATAACATCACTATTATACTCCATTATGGATTGACGTAGCACAGTCCCTACCATGTTCTTTGAGAGAACTACCGAAAACTTCGTTCAAACAAAAGATTTAACCTTATGAACTATAGACCAATCATTACTTAAGTCAGAGCTATTGAAAACACTTTTCAGTTTTTCAGTGTTGTAAATTCCACAGTTCTTGCAGAAAACTAGAGATTTCCAAGGCATTCTTTTGGCCTTACCCAGGTGTGGGTGATATCTTAGTTTCTCGAACATTTCGAACGCACTTTTCCGTTCACTAATGCCATCAATTATGACTAAGATGATAAAAACAAATCAAAAGTAGAGTGTAAGTTGTTTAGCACAAGTGACCACTCTTGCTTTTATCTACCTTCTTCGGCCACGAAAACGTAATCTTGGCACATAACGCAATCTTACGACGTTTGACGTTCGTGGGAAAAGAACGCGTGACGAAAAATACGTGTATCAGAGAACCTTGTGAAACTCAGAAGAGGGTGGCCCCAAAAACTTAGGGATGGGTTGGGAGAGAAAAGAGGAGAATTGTGACTGTGAAGAGGGGAAGAGTTGAACACAGGCCGTGAAATTAGAAGGCGAGTTTCGTTTTGGTTCGGAGTGAATTTGAACTCAGTCAACTTGCTTCAAAAGAGGAAGGGATGGGATCTAGTACTAGTGTGTTGCTGAAATTGTTTTGTCTGCCAGAATAGCAAAAGTAGCTTTGGAAGTGGAAATGATTCTCGCAGTTGAATAAACAACCTAAGCAGTTGAAAAAGAATCTGAAAAAAATCAGGCGTGACCGGGAATCGAACCTTGACCATTGCGATGACCGGACGCAACGCTCTATCCATTAAGCTAATCAAGCCAACTGGAGAGCAGGCCATTGTAAAATGAGTCATTGCATATATTTCCATTCATGTCAGAAGTAGCGTTGTTACTTCTTAATCCCAAGTGATACGCATACAAATAACCCACAAAGGCTTTTATTAACACTCTTGAAAAGAAAAATACTTTAATTACACTATTTACACTTTTTAACACCTGTGTAGATGGCACTTCATGGAAGCACGAGAATCAATACATATTAAAAAAGGATTACAACCTATAAAACCCAGCGTCAATTTTGAGAACTTGTCATAGAGTTCTAACATTTGGGTTTGAAAGTTGATACCATAGTTATAGCATTAATAGAAACCTTTTGTCAGCGGTTTTACGTAACACCATCTCTACCATTTTTCTGCAGTAAGTGACATTTGTGATATTATCTGAATGTTGTTTCCTCATCAAAAAGGTTCAGTTGCATTAATGCTCTCTCTTAAGATGGCGGGAACATTAAAGATACTGTTACATAAAGTGGCATACACACGTTCTTAACACAAACAACCTGAGAAAAAAAAAAAGAAAGATAAGAATATTGTATCAATCATAAGATAAAGAGACTAACACGGAGACTGGCCGTTTAACGCAACATACGAAACACAAGAAGGAATGTTTTATCACATACCGTAAATCCTCTATTAAGCCCCCCTCCCTCTCAAATAAGCCCCCTACCTCTAATAAGCCCCCCACCCCCAATTCAGGGGAAGAAAGTTAATAAGCCCCCTCTCTATTAAGCCGCCTCTTCCCTTCCCTAATTATTCTTCACTAATAAAATATAGACTGTAGACTTGTGGGCTGATCCAGGGTGGTTCATTTACTAACTGGAAGTCCGGATTTGATTCTGATCCTCGGCTGCATGACCTCCAACCTTCACGTACTTGAGCTTTTCAACTTTGTGTTCTAGTTATTTATGGAGAACTGATACCATCGTCTTCCCTAAATTAAATAAGCCCCCCCCCCTCTCAAATAAGCCCTCCGTATGAAATGGGCTTGAAAGAGGATTTACGGTATCCATTAACACGAAGAGATAAAAAAGAAAACTAACAAACAATTGACGAAGCTCGAAGTGCTAGATACTTTTACGAAACACTGAAAAGGTTTCGGTCGTTTAACATAACTTCACAAACGAAACGAGCATAGTGGTGGTGGTGGTGGTGATGATGATGATGATTATTATTACCACAACAGTATAATTTTTTACTCTTACCTCGGATTGTCTTGTCTTCCCTGAAAAACCAAAGCTCTGACAAAGAATTCCTGAAAGAAAAAAAAATTCTCAGATCGAAAGCTGATACAATGGTCCAGCGATTCTGACTTGTGAAGAGATGACAGCTACTTATTACAGCTTTTGAAGCTACCCACCTGATGAGAACATTTTATTAACACCAAAGTCCGACCACTGAACACTGATACAGTAACGCACCTGCAAATAAACGAGGCTTACACCATTATCCTATTTTCCATCACATTTTCCAAGGGGCTCTACTCTTTCATTTCCTTAAGAGGAAGAGAAGAAGAGAGACCCTGGTAAAAGTAGAGACCTTTAGATTCTGATGACTACGAGGAAGAGATTTGTTAAATACTTAGGTGTGCGCGCACAAGAAACCGCGTCATTTTGGCGGGAAATCGTGATAGCCATCGTCATTCTACTACGGGCTTTAGCGGACTGTGGTAGTGGCGGGAGCAATTTATCGACGGTTAGAAGGTTTTATCATTTTGCGATCAGGAAAGGGCTTCACCTCCTTCAATACAAATAACCGTGCTAACGTTTATAGGCGAAAGAAAATTGCACAATGAAGCTTTTCGGGATGTACATCTTTTTTAGAATACGAGAAAACCGAAACTGCTGTTAAATCTCGTACTCGTAGTCTTCCTCGTCCCCGAATCTAAGGGTCTCTACTGTTGAATAAGTACGGTTAAATGAAATTTTAAACTGTTAAGGAAGGGGGCCAATAGTAGTCTTGTCAGTAGCGTTTTCAAGCATTTTTAGCTTGATGGCCAGCGTTTAGCGTTTTCTAGCGTCTGTAGCGTGTGTAGCGTACGTAGCATTTGTGGCATTCATGTGGTTGTTGAATCCCTCGGGCGGGCCATTGTCCAGCAGTATTCGAGGTCAGCGAATACGTTACCTCCGCAGTTATTTGCGTTGTGCTCGATGTTGCGATAGCAGACCCTGCGCCCCTTCTCATCTCCATTTACAACTTGGGCGTTAATATATATAATCATATCAGGTAAAGCGATTTTCGTATGACCTTGAAGTGAAAACGAGAACAAAATAGAAGCAACAAACGAACGGAAATAGAGCGACTTGATTGGTTTGCCGAACGAAAACAAACGCGCGTGGCTTTTGGTTGGTTAAGCGGGTGCTCGGCTGAAAAACTTCATGCCCGAAGAACTTTCTAGAAATCAACCGATACTTCGCTTTCACGTTATACTGCAACACGATTGGCCAATCGAACAATACCTTCCCCATATTGGGGTTTTCTTTCGCGGGAAAACGAAGAGTCCATGTTTTGATCTTTTCATCCATTGGCTTATAAAACAATAACAAACACTTACCGAAACTACTTTTCAAGGTCATACGAAAATCGCTCTATCACTGAAAGACAACGAAAGCCACGTAGTAGTGAAGTAATTCTTATTACGCCGTGCTGCGATGGTGTCCTAGCCTTTAAGTCTGTGGATGACGTTTTTGAGTGTGCAATACTTTCCTGTGTACTGTTCATGATGCTCTACAGTTGTAACGTTATGATTGAGCAGTGGTTTAAATAAAGACGTTTTCAGTTTTCAATGAGTCCGACATTTTTCAACATTAGGGAGAGATGATGTCACCAACCTTTCTATTAACCCTCTAAACAAATTACTGCTTTAACTCAAAGAAGAAATATCTTTACCTCTCTATCGTGACGCATGGAAAATGTGTGACGTTCACAAGCTCTAAACGACAGCACGGGATCATTGGGCTTCAACCTCTGTCAAGGTGAAAAAAAAGAGGAGGTAAAAAGCAGCTAAAGTTAGATGGTTACGCTTCTTTATAATAACGGATTACTTTGAGGTGGGGCTCAGCCAAAACTGAACTTTCGTAGCCCCCATTAAACTGGTGAAAAACTGCCGCGAACGTTTATAAGAGAAAAAAGTTGACCCCTTTGCCCAAATCAACAATGTTTGCGCATGCTCTTACTGTCTAGGATAGCGCTCGCGCATGCTCTGATTGTCTTGCCTTGACCGAGTTGACCCGGCTGAGTGTGCCGAAGTGTTTACAAGGAGAAAAGTTGGTCCGGCTGGGAGGGTGACCCTACCATCAAAAAAGGGTGACTCGACTGGATGGATCACCCTTCTAGCCAAGCCAACTAGCCAAGGCACCTTGCATGGGACCTGTGAGTCCCGTTCGTGCCTATTCCCTCTGGGCAGCCTGTGTCCAGAAAAGCTGGTAAAACAAAACAAACAAAAGTTTTTGTTTCTCATGTAAACGGTTTGCCAAGTTTTATAAGAAAATGTAGGAAGCGTTTGAGAGCCTTCCGAAAAAAGCCACAACAGACCTGAAGATAAAAGGAGTATTTAGAACCAGTGTCGTCCTTGGTCGCTTTGACTTCAAAATGAAAACCATGTAGAGACATAATTTCGGAGTGGTACTTCAAATGCTGCAATAAAAAAGACAAAGAAAAACCATCGGTGGGCAATGCATCAAAAAATATTATGACACTCATTTGCAAAATTTTCACGGGCGCTTGTTTAAGGGCAACACTATAGAAAACGTTACAGTGAAACCAGATAAAGTTTTCTTACAAACGTTACGTGGTTCACCTTAGCAAACACCCGCAAACCTCAACATGTGAGGGGGTTACTTCTTCAAGAGAATATCCTTAATCTTAACTCTAGGCAGCATATAAACAAGAAAAACAAGGTGTTCAGCTCCTCTGAAGACTGAAGGGTGGACGGGCAATGGATCATCATTCAGACAGCTAACATTAGGGCCATTTATACGAGGAAAAATAAGACGCGTCTTAAGAACTGGACTATTTATACGAGCATGTCTTATCTAAGACGAGAACAGTTCTGTTCTTGACTCGTTTTCATGTGAATGTTGCCTGTAGCAACGGCAATCCAACAAGGCGCGCCAAAGATTAACGCATGCGTACTATGCGTTGGCGTCTTATGTAAGACGCGAAGGTCATTTATACGAAGTTTTTCTCGTCTTAGCTAAGACGCGTCTTATCTAAGAACAGGTGTTAAGCGCTGTTCTAAAATAAGACTCGTCTTAGCTAAGCCGCGTCTTATTTTAGACGAAATGTGCCGTTTTAATATACGGAAAGTTCGCGTCTTATTTAAGACGCGTCCTATGTAAGACGCGTCTTATTTTTCCTCGTATAAATGGCCCTATTATCCACTCTCAACGCTAACTGACATTCTCTGAAACTCCATCGTTTTATCATTGAAATCATTTTTTAAAAAAATAGAAGGGGGACCTAACTGACTGAAAAACCAATGACTGAACAAATTTCTAACAAATCACGGTCATTCGTCATTTTCAACCATGACAGGTGTGTTAGTTAGTGTGTTAGTGTGAGCTTCACAGGAGCACAACATAAGAAACATTTAAAAGAAAAATGGACTACCTCCTCGAGAATGAAACCCTTGCGTATGGCTCCATGCTCAAATCTCGTCATTAAAGACATGTCGCCTCCACCTTGCAGCTGTGACGAAAAAAGGGAAAAAAAGGAACAACGTTAAAACAACATAAGTTTGTGGAGTTTGACTGCCCGGGTGAGCGTATTCCTAAATAGGAATATTGTTGACAGTGATTGACGTTTCGACAACCTGTGCGGTAGTTATCTTCAGAGACAAAGTGAGTTGTATCACGTCAGTTGATGGTACATTGTATTTAACTCTGGTTATTGACCTGATTGGTCAGTTTTAACTTACAAGTCGCGATGTTATTGGTCGTCTGTCAGTTAAGCCGTGATGTTATTGGCTCTGAGGGCTCTTATTAAATGGGATTGGTGCGTTTCGATCCATCTTTTCTCCAAAGTGGAGGGTCGCTCATAGCTTGTCAAATTGTAAGTTGCCAGCCATTCTATCTTTGTCAGTTTTGCTTTGACTGCCGTAAATAAGTCGTTGGCACGGTACCGGTAACTTTTGATTAGGTTCAGTTGCCTTTTTTTCTAAGTCAGAAATAGTAATAAATAGTAAAAGTCTGGAAAATAAAAATAAAAAATTTCCCTTTTCTGCCTTATTCACCCCGGGTCTTAATCCAACCCATAATACTAATCCTTTGTTAGATCCAAAATGAAGACACGTACCGCGTGGTAATGTTGAGCATAGACCCGAAGCAGCCATGACTGAGGAACAAGGTTCATCTTCTGTAGTTCATCTAATTGTGAGCCTGATAAAAAATGAAGTTGACGGAGTGTGAGTCTACCTTACGCCCTTCAAATGGATCGTTTCTACATTTCTGTGAACAAAGATACCGAGTCGATGGCTGGGAAGACAAGATACAGTGATTTGAATGAAATTTTCCACTTAAGTTTCGACCTTGTTTCATTGTGTGAGCTCGCTGGACGGGAATGCTGGAAAGTTCTTATAATAGATAACACACACGGTTCTTCAAAAACAAACCAAAAAGGAGAGATTATTTAAATATTGTCAGAGATCTCAAAAGTAGAAATCCTCGAGAATCAAGAGTTATCATTGCTTTAAGAGATGACTCCCAAGAAAGCTTGCTTCTCTTACTGCAACCACGAAAAATAAGTAATCAGGCAAGTCCTTTTAAATACAAACTCAGATTGGACAAAATAAATAGTGAAGGTAGTTTGGCCAATAAGAACGATGTGGTAACAAAGGCATATTTTCAACCTACTGTCTGTGATTCCTCCTAGTCTGATAGTCCTAAATAAATTCACATAACCATGACCCTAAAAAGACAAGAGCAAAAATAAAAAAATACAGAGGTTAGGTACTGTAAACAACTGTTCTTATAGAAGTTGATTTCAGAATAGACCTTCCATGGTTTTTTTCAACTTTTGATATGGACAAGTTTGGGAAAATCCGTCGACATCACTGGAAAGAGCGCCTTGAAACTAGCAAAACTGCCAAGTTTATTAATTTTAAAGTGTTTTGTTGAAAACTAACGAAGATGTAACTCCTCAAAGTCGCGAAATTTTACAGACGTTTGTATGGTGGGGGGCACTAGCAAACTTGCCCCCCGCCCCCGCCCCCCATACAAACGTCTCTATAAATTTTCGCAACTTTGCTGAGCTATAACTTCGCTCGCTTGAGACGTATCACTTTCAAATTTGGCAATTTTACTAATTTGAAGGCGCTCTTTCCAGTGATGTTGATGGATTCTCCCTAACTGGTCCATCTGAAAAGTTGAAAAAACCATGTTGAAGGGTCCTCTATTACTTAAGGCAGCTTTGATTGCTTTTAATGATTGGCCTTTTTTTAACTTCTGGTGAGACTGGGTCGGTGCTGTGCCGAATTGCACTATGGGATTGTTTAAGGGGTCGAATGTTGACCCAGTTTACTGCGCAAGTGCTAGAGTGCAATAGACCACGTTCAATATACTATACTTCTAACAAGGCTCCAAGGCTTAAAGGTCAAAACTGCAAACTTTTCACGACTCCATTGTCTCGCAATTCCCAGAAGAGACTTGAGCACCAAGAAAACTAAACCAAATATAGAATAATGACCAGACAGCCTCGCAGCCATGGTACAATTTTGCTACAAGGTTGAGTTACCACTCCAATTCGACGTCTAGCTTTCACCAAATAAGACTGTTTATCAGTGGAGATATCAATTTGAATCCTGGACCCGACAGATGCCATCACTGTTCAAAGACAATCTCTCGAAATCACCGGGCGCTCAACTGCAACGAGTGTAATAAACACTTTCACATTAGGTGTGGTGGAGTAAGCCCGAAGCAATTCAAAAGTATTCAACCGCAGAATTGGATTTGCAATGTTTGCCTTCTATTTAATCTGCCTTTCTCTGGTGACGTTACTTTGGATGACTCGCTTGACTGCGGGTTGCGGGTTACAGTTGAACTCTGTAGAAGCTGATTATGGGCCTTTCCTAGACAACAAGTCTATGAACGATTGCAGAAATCATACCGAAGACCATAACGATGAATACCTACAGGATTTAGTTCACAAACTTACTACCAATGCAAAACATCTTAAAATAGCACACTTAAACGTTCGTGGCTTACGGAAAAAGGTGGACGAATTACGAATCCTTCTAAAGCTATGCCGTTTCGACGTATTCGGAGTAACAGAAACGCACTTAAACAGCGAAATCATTGACGGAGAAATAGATATTGAAGATTACAATCTGATCCGAAGAGACAGACCAGGCAGACAAGGCGGGGGCTGTGTGATATATTATCGCAAGTCGCTGAAAGCAATCCATCGACCGGACTTGGAAGATGAACAAGTGGAAGGGATATGTATGCAAGTAAAGGCTGACTCAAGAGACATCCTGGTAGGAACTATATACCGGCCACCAAACCAAAACAATGAATTCTTCACAGCGTTTCCAAAATTAATGGAAAATATCTGGACAAAATTCTTAAATATAGTACTTCTTGGGGACTTTAATACCAATCTATTACAGGACGAACGCGGCGACACGTCGTACGAAGGAAACAAGATGAAAGGGATACTCGAACAGTATAATATGAAGAACGTGGTAAAAGGACCAACAAGAATTACTAACCATTCTAAAACGTTGATTGACCTCATTGTCACGAACAGAAAAGATCTGGTCAAACAAAAGGGCACATGTCCCCTGGGTATCTCAGATCACGACATGATTTATGCAACCTTATCAGCCAGTATCCCGAGAGACCAGCCTAAAATAATTACCATCAGGAACTTCAACAAATTCAACGAGAGGAACTTTCAAAGTGACATTGCCCGTGTGCCTTTTCAAGTATGCGAAGTTTTTGATGATCCGACTGATGTTTATTACGCATGGAACCTGCTCTTCATAGAATTGTGCAACGAACACGCGCCACTTAAACAAATTAAAGTACGCAGTAACAGCCTGCCTTGGATAACAAAGGAAATTAGAATAACCATGAATCAAAGATATAAGACTCTGAAAACGGCGCGTCAATCAAATGATCCACTGCTAAGGGATGACTATAAAAGACTTAGAAATAAAGTCTCAACAATGACGAAAAAAGCCAAAGCCGATTATTACTCCAATCTATTCGATGAAGTAAAATCCGCTGCTGCTTACTGGAAACTACTGAAAAAGACATCAGGAACAAGAAAAGTAAACAGACAAGCCCACCAATTAAAGAAGGACAATGGAACCTCTACAACAGATGACACTGAAAAGGCAACCATGTTAAACGATTATTTCTGTACAATTGCTGAAAAATTGATTGGCCCCGCGGATGAAATTCAGCCATTACACGCTCATAGCTGTGCGAATGTGGATACGCTGATATGACCAGCATCACGATCAGTCAGAAGGAAATCGAGGAAAAGATCTGTAAGTTAAAAGTGAAGAAAGCCACGGGGCCAGATGGCGTATCTGCGCGTCTTTTAAAGTATGCAGGTATGTCTATTGCCCCATCTCTCACGAGCGTGTTTAAACACAGTGTTGATGCCTGCAAGCCACCAGACCAGTGGAAAATAGCCAGAGTCAGTGCAGCGTTCAAAAAAGGACGAGAGGAAGACAGAACATGTTACAGACCACTGTCTATGCTCAGTATACCAAGTAAATTAATGGAATCCTGCATCGCAAGTAATATCACTAATCACGTGGTTACGCAAAATTTACTCGATAACAGACAATGGGCTTATAGAAAGGGAAAGTCAACAGAACAGTTATTAATACACCTAACTGAGAGGTGGAGAGAAGCAGTAGAAAGAAAGCTTTTTGTGGGAATACTGTTTGTGGATTTCACCAAAGCTTTCGACACAGTGTCGCACAATATATTGCTACAAAAGCTGAACGACCTTGGAATCAGAGGAGATGTCTGGCTGTGGTTAAAGAACTACCTTACAGAACGAAGACAATTCGTCAGAATCAACGGATCCGACTCCGATACACACATTATAGCTCACGGAGTGCCTCAAGGGTCGGTCCTCGGACCCACGTTATTCTCCCTCTTCACAAACGACCTCCCAAAATCACTACGCTCTGCGGAAACTTACCTGTATGCAGACGACACAACAATATACTGTATTGCAGAAACGATGGATTTGCTAACAAACTCATTAAACAATGTTCTAGCTGAACTCCAGGAATGGTGCGACAGAAATTCGATGGTACCACACCCAGAGAAATGCAAAGCAATGATCATGCAGCGCAAATCAACATTTACTGGCCCTATCCAAGCTCTTCGCCTTGGCAACAACATCATAAAGTGGACAACCTCAGAAAGACTCCTCGGAGTACAAGTTGATAACAAGTTGTCCTGGTCAGATCATGCTGCAAATGTAGCGAAGTCCTTCGCATCCAAGTTAAGTCTACTCCGACGCATGCGATTCCTCCCTCAGAAGCAATTAGAAGATTTCTACACAAAAGTGATACTGCCATCAGTTACATACGGTCTGACAGTGTGGGGATCGTGCAACAAGACACACCTAAAAACTTGGAGAAACTCCATGCAAGGGCTGGACGGATTGTAAATGGGCTACCATGGGACACAAGCGCTGAAGATGTCTTAATGCGAACTGGATGGGATAGTTTGGAAACAATGTACAAACTGCGACTAACGGAGTTTGTCTTCAAATGTTTAAAAGGTTACACCGTCACGGAATTTAAAAATTTGTTTTTACAGAGGAATTCAGGCTGCAGAAGAAATGAGAACATCATTCTTCCAAGACCAGAAACAAATTTTATCAGGAACTCCATACGCTTTAGAGGAGCAATCGCATGGAACACTTTAACGAACAAAGAAACAGGGGCCAAAACCTTGAAAGAATTTAAACGCTGTCTCGTAAAATTTGATACCGATAAAATGCATTTCGAACCAATCTTAGCTACTACCAAAAATAGAGATATCGGTTACGAATACTTTTAACAGTTTTAATTTTTAATTGCACATTTTCACGACCTATTTCAAACATTTTTAACAGTTTTTAGTTTTTAATCGTACTTCTTATTTTTCTTGTAATTGTTAGTATGCACGACCCCACCAGCAATGCTGATCTTTTTATCGTGCTAAAATAAAGTTCTTATCTTATTATAATCGAACGTAGGCTATTGAACTTTTCCACGAAACCCAGCATCTTTGCACGCGCTTAAGGACAGATGGGTAAAAGCGATGTCACGTGCTTTCTCAGGGGGCAAACAGGCACTGAAATTTGTCAATTCAAGAAATTGCGGTCAGGTTTGTTTATTCCAGGCAACAGAAAATGAAGAACTTTTTGTCTTAAAGACGATAATGTCCAGAAAGTTATGGGTAGAAGTGACCATTGTTACGTTTTTGGACGCAGTAGCGACCATAGATGTCCTCACAGCAAGCAATAATGACGTAAAACTTGGCGAAAGTCGAACTGTTCATCTTGCATGACTATTAAATCGTCGTCATGTTTTGAGAGAATAAATAAACTAGACCGCGATTACTCGTATAGGCAAATGTTAACACTTGTTTGTGCCCCGATCAAATACCACGTGACATAGCTTTTATTCCATCAATCTTTAAACACAGGCAAAGACTTCGAGTATCGTGAATATGGACTATTCGACACGACACCGGCCCAGTCTAAAAGGCAACCTCAAAAAAGCCATGAGATAACTCCCAAGAATTAAAAGCCACAGTCCAGTTCCTAAAAGACCGATCAGCGCAAATCCAGGATTAAAAATTAATTTTAATCCTCGATTTCATTTAATTTCCTGGAGATTGATTAAATATTATTATCATATTATGTCATCATAACTGCACATTGAGTCAAGGCTCAATTCTCATCTCCAGTTACCTGTTCCTAGACAGGACAACTTCGCCGGTTAAATTTGCCTTAATCCTGGGTTAGACGTATCCATCTTTCCAGGAACCCAGCCCAGATCTTCATACAGACAATCTGTTTTACTTTTATATAGCTTTGTTCATGACATCATGTTCTGTTTGTGGCTTTTCTACATTTCTTTAAGAGTCTTTCTAGAGATTAAAGCAGTAAATTGGATGTTTCAGTCAATTTTACGATCATTTTGGTAAGTGCCGAAATTTCCTTACCTCTTCTCTTTCTAAGAATGAAGTAGCCTTTGGCAAACTAGGAAAGAAAAAACAATGAAGGGGTTAATAAAATTTCAAAAGGAAAGATGGTGCTACGCAGATTTGAAAGCACAACACAAATTATGGGTTAAGTAAAAGATTAAAAGGCTGCCATTTCGATAGGCAAAATATTCAGATTTCAGCACAGAAAAATACAACGTTTTAATCAAAATGAGGTCAAATTCCCTCTTCTTTTACGTGGTCTTCACAGCACTTTGTATTCCCCTCCCACACCTACCTCCCACGCCTTCCCCCACACCCCCTCCCCCCACAAAAAAGAATGCCTCAGCATAGGGACGGTTGTAAGTCTCATTAGTAACTGAAAATACCTCGTGCTTTCATTATTCCCTATAGCCTACAACTCCTGTAGTAGGGAGTTTAAGCAAAGACGTTTTTAAGCGACGCAAGTCAACCGGAGGTAAGGCCTTCTCCCTTCTCATATGCCTTGACGCTAACAAATTTGTATCTGGCTAAGTTTCTTTTCTCTTATAAAGACGATTTACCCGAGAGTTTCAACCATGAAAACCACTCCCGAATGATGAAACAAGTCCACTTCCGGTTGACGTCTATCGCTCAAAAATTCTGTTGCTTAAGCTCCCTAGTAATAACAATATTTATTAGGGTCACGGTCATCGCCTGGGTCTTTTATGTACTGTTACGTGACACCATCACGCCGAGCCCTCCTATCCCACACAATTTTGAAGTACCCTGTAGGCAAAACCTGGCCTCATATAATCTTACCTCATGAACCAGGTTACCACAGTTCCCCACGAAGGCATCAACTGCACAAAATCAGAGACAAAGAGTTAGATACAGAAGTTCGAATTGTATGTGTATCTCGTATAAGGTGGTACAAAACTGGAACGGTTTCAACGGAAGAAATTTATCCCCTCGTCATTTGGTTTCTTTGGGAGCAGTTAGGGCTGGTTTTCATATGACTGCTATGACCGTTAAAAGAGTCTGACGATCGGTCTAACAGACTAACGATCTAACAGTCTAATGATCTAACGGTCCAACAGTCTAACAATCGGTGCAATATCAACGTTCACAGTTATGCAGAAAGAAGCCTTGGGGTTGAAATGAAGTCGATCTCAGCTCAACAAACAATATGGCTGCAAACAATACGTTCCTCAAACTGCTGCTTCAATCAAATCACTTCTGGAACCAATGGAATGCAACATATTAAATCTGAATGTTGTACGTAAATGTAGCCTGCGAATAATGCCATCTCTTCTCGCCCCTCGCTGTTGAGGACGTTTCGATGAGGAGCAAGAAGGAACGGATGTATTCGGAGGCTAATGGTAACGTCACACATAGCAGAACAACACAGTTACAGAGCAGTAAAATGCCAATGTATACGATTTTAAGACTTCCAAACAACTCAGTCAAAGATATGGACACCGTTGGGCCAGCATCAAGTGTCCGTTTAAGATGGGTGTCGCCTTTTAGGGACCTGAAAAAATTAATGATTATACAGTCAGACATCTCCCCAACATGGACACCGAAAGTTGGTCCCAGCTCTTCTATAGTTGACTCCCTTTGACCCTTTAAGACGGGCACCTCTCCAAAACGGAAACTTTGTGTTTACCCGAGCGTCCGATAGGGAGTTGACTGTAGAACAGCTGGTCGACGCTGGTAAGTCCTACCTGCAAATTAGGGTGCTGTTGAAGAAAGATCCAGTACGCCAGCAACTTGTATAACGAATATTCACACCAAGTAAAAAGCCTAAAGAAAGAAAATAACTATTATATCCAAAAAGAGGACAAGGTGTTTAGTTACATGTTAAAAACTGAAAAGAGAGATTTGGGAAAATGTGATTTAAATCGAGAAAACAGGGAGCTTAAAGAGACAACAGATCGTATTAACGATACCCACCGTTCCTTTTGGTCATCGTGACTCGTCATTTTAGAGCATCAAAACATAAAATTGTAGGCAGAAAGAATCAACGGAAATTTGCTTCGTAAGCGTTTAGATTTGAAGTCAAACTTTGCACCAATCCTGAGTTATCTTAATCTTGTTATGAACAACTGGGATAAGAACTGTGCTTGACAAACCAGTGGCAACGCAGAGAGAGACTCTTTTTCTTATCCTGCTTTCTTTGGACACAGCTGTATAGGTGATTTTTTCATATAAATAGAATTACGCATTACGTTACAGGGCTGAGTTGTTCAAAGCGAGTTAAGATAACCCAGGGTTAGTGCGAAATTTGAATTCTGATACAAAAGCTTTGAAAGCAAATTCAGTAAATTCCTTTGGTCTGCAGTTTGGTGATTGGATGCTCTATAAAGATATAGCAAAAAAAGTTCTTAGAAAATGCTTTTAAACAAAAGAAAAAGAAACCTGGATTAAAATTTAACCCTGGGTTAGTGCTCATCGGCCTTCGAACAAATGGGCCCAGGTAAATCACAAAATTTTCCAGGTAGTTTGCCCCAACAGCACAATTCCAGTCCCCCACCCCCAATTTGCTTAACTGAATCTCTTGTTCACGTAGCCTAAAAAAACTCTCTATTCCTGAAGTATGCGACAGAAAGCCTTTTCCTTTAAAATCGCAAGATATATGAGAAACATGCTCACTGCTGTATAAATTTACAAAGTCAACTTACTTGGTAGATTTTAAACACTTCTCCAGTAGATCTTGTGGCAAGTGACTCAAAAATATTTGAACTGAAAGCTGAAAGTTAACGCCAAATGTAACGTACAATAAATCATTGTGTAGAGTATGCAATGTAATGTACAGTAAATTATAATTTTTACTTTCAAAGTAGTACTGAGTAGTATTCCCGGCAACAGTAGCTAAAAGTATTTTCCTTTACGGCAGGGAAACATGGACTCTAACCAAAAGTCCAGAAAAGCAAATTGATGGTGCCTATACTAGAACGCTTGGCACAGCACTAAACGTTTCTCGGAGGGACCATATTACAAATGAAGATCTGTACGGTCGCCTTCCAAACGTATCTAGCAAGATCAGGGAAAGAAGAATGAGGGTAGCTAGGCATTGTGTTAGACACAAAGAGGAGGAGGCATCGCAGCTTGTGCTGTGGCAGCCACAACACGGAAAAACTAAGAGAGGAAAACCTAACACCACGTACATACACACTTTGCATGAAGACACCGAGTTCGACACTATCGGAAAACTCAGAACGGCAGCGCTAGACCAAAGACACTGGAGAGGGAAAATCCATGTTGTCCGAGCTGGCGCTTGACCAAACTAATTACCTATAATAAATCAAATACAGAATTTCACACGTATACTGAGTGAAAGGGTATCATACTTTACCTGTGGTATTAAATTGAGTTCCAACCATCTCTCACATGCTTCCACAACCGAGCTTTGCTTGTACTAGATTGAAAAGGAAACAAAACGTTACTGTCACTATGCCGTATACCTTTAACATATAATTATCACTCGGAATACATTCTGATGGCATCAAAAGATCACAAATTCCGGTTCCTTCTGTGAGTACCGGAGCACAGATTACGTAATACAATAGTAATAAAAGACAGGAAACAAAACAACTCCAAATAAAGACTAATCCCAAGTGACCAAAAATACAAAGCTTTCCGGTACCTGCAAAAGACCCCAAATTCCTCACGGAATGTTCTTTTTCGAGAAACATGAAAAAAGCATTTACTTCGGGGGGACGGTGCCGTAAAATCCGCCGCCTGGTTAGCTCAGTGGAGAGAGCGCCGGTCTGCCCAGCGGGAGGTCGCGGATTCAAACCCCGGCCGGACCAACACTCAGGGTCCTTAAATAACTAAGAAGAAAGTGCTGCCTTTGTAATGACATCTGGAAATGGTTAGACTTCCTAGTCTTCTCGGATAAGGACGAAAAACCGTAGGTCCCGTCTCACAGCACTTTCACTGATTTGTATTATTCGAAAGACTAAGCCCCGGTGGTGTGGCCAATCTTGACAGGTTGTGGGATTGGGTAGGGATGGCACCTCCCTCTGGACAGGCCTGTGTCCAGAAAAAGCTGGTAAAAATTAAAAAATTAAATTAAATCGATGCAGCATTTAGGAAATCACCAGGACACCCTATTTATAATGGAAACATGTATGGGAAAATGGAAAATACAACCTCCACGATTAGGCTCAAACATTGCGTAGATAGGAGCTGCATGGACAGTTTGCAAAATTAAATCCTCCAAATGAGGGAAAACTGGTCTTTTCCAAGTGGAGGCGGCGGTTTTTAAGTAAGTATCCATAGCCGATAAATACTAATTATTTTTTATTACAATGATGATCACATCAAACAAATCGTATCCAAAACAGCACAACAGGCAAGTAAGTTGCGATAAAAACCTTTTAAACAAAAAAGTCGCAGAATAACGTATCATAAGGTCTGTGAGTAACATCAATAATCTTTAAAAATTAATAGATCTTTGGGAGGAAGACCAGCAGGGTATTTAATTATGTTTTAAATTTTCCAACAACTTTTAGAACCTACATGTGTAGTCCTTGATTCCTGGAGTTCTGCAAAAACCGTAAACCAATAAAATATGGTTTTTTTTAACGATAAGAGGAAGAAAGGAGACCTCTGCCAGTCCCCGCCAAGTTTCCTATCACGCATGCGCTAGCGTTTCCTTAACAGTCAGTGACGTTTTGGTCACGTGTGACATACCTCACAGAACTGGTTTGCGCGCGCGAAAAATCAGCTGACAGCACTGGCGTGTACATAGGAATTTCTCGCGATGTGATGAGATGAATTTATCTCCTTCCTTTCATTTTACTCTCGCAGTGAGAGATCTCTGCTAGCAGGGGCACCCAACGAGAATATAGTTCAAAACCACTTAAACATAACATTATTGAACGTATTTTAGTATTTAAAGGGTAGATATAGGCACATTTTTATCCCCTAAAAATTTTTCATCTTTTCGGATTTCCTAGCTGAAAGTCTAGTGATCCGAAAATTATAGGGATCAAAGCTTACCTTTTCGAAAATTTCAGCCAGAAAAAAGGCTCCCGAAAATTCTAGGTGACCTTTTTAGGGTAAAAATCCGTTAAAATGGGCAATTAAACCATTTTTTAGATGTTCGAAAATCCTAGGAGAGGCATGCAAGCAAGAAATTTTACAACAAATGTTCCGAAAATTCTAGATCTCAAATCGTCTTCCGAACAGATATTTTCCGAAAATTGACGTTGGGTGCCTCTGTGCTAGCAGGGAAATGTTTGTTTTAGTTCATAGTAAATTTGAATAAAGTAATAATGACGTTAAAGACCAAGTAGCAGTTCAGTTTCTCTCTGATTTGAAGCCGTTCAAATTACATGTACGTACCTTAGAACCTGAAGCATGAAAGGCACAGACTGACCAAGCAGCAATGGATTTTAGCATAACATCAGAACACCTGCAAACAATTATTTTAAATCTCTTTTAGATACGTTGTAAAAAGCAGTAATTTTAATTCAGTGTATCTTCCATCAGGAGCAAAATAATGCTTTAAACCCCTAACCTCGGTATAAATGAGCTTGAAAATTCAGTAAAACTACAGCTAACACAACCAGAATTTGAAACTTCACCTAAGAGATTTTAACCACAAGGAGCAGAAAAGTTAGGTCAGACTATGATTGTTTCGCATTGCTAATAGATTTGTTAGTCTTCCAGAGCTCTGCCGGCCAACTGCTCTGTAATATAAACGTAACTAATCATAGCGTCAAGGACTGATGGGCGATGTCCTCTTAAACTTCATTCGCTCTAATAGCATGTAGTGCTACGTAATGTACATGTAGCTTTAGAACTTACTGGACAATTACAGCAAAATGTTAAAAATAACGAAAACAACAAATTGTGAGTGAATAAAAAGCATAGGTTCATGTATGCTTCTGGTAATTAGGTTTAAATTCTTACAATTTTTCCAAAGATGTAAATCCTAAGAAACTTGCAGCAGCCAAAACACCGACAACATCAGCTTCACTAACGTTCATCTCGCTTTCATTTTCATATAGTGCAGCAAGAGCAAGCGCAAAGGCTGAAAAGGAAAACAAAACAACTCGAATGAGAAAACTGACAATACATAAACATATGCGAGAAATCAACGGTCACAAGCGCAACTCTAGGAAGTTTTTTAACTTTATTAGAAAATACTCTAAAATAATGTTGCAGCTCTCCTACATTGTACACGTCAATCCTATACAAATTACAGTTTCAAAAGACTTACAGCCTGAAATCAAAATTGATCTATGCACATCGCATAAATGCAAAGCAATGAAAACTTTAGCCCTGTTTACACACACTACAACTATACTGTATTCTGAATAAAATAAGAATGTTCAGTACTATTATTATGAATGGCCTCCTAACCCAGTTCTTCCAAAACTGTTTTGCATTTAAGAAACCTTCCTTTTCCTCTGCGTGACACCTTCCTCACAGGTGGTGATTTTCACCCACACTCCCTTAATCCATTCACTCTGCTACCCTTTAGAAGCACGAGATACCACTCATAGTCTAATTAGCATACCACTCACTTTGTTTTGTGATCAGTGGATCCTTGATTCTCAATCTAAACGTTAACTGGTTCTTGTACCACTCGCTGCTGGATCTCCTTCTTCCTATGGACAAGTCTGACATGACTGGACAAGTCTGACATGACATCTAAATTGGGATGGGGTTCTATGTTTTCGTACCAGAACTGGCAACAAACGAACGGAAATTGTTTTTGGTTTAGGCATCTAAATTGGTTTTAAGCGAACTGTAAAAAAGATATGCCGAGAACTTTCTAGCAATCGGGTTATTAGCAAACACAAAATGCCTTCTGAATTAGGGTTTTCTTTGGCATGGTATCCATTGTCAAAAAACAACACTGACTTTAAGGTCATACGGCTCTCACCAAAAATTATCTACCCGCTGACTTGTATGAAGAAGAACCACCAGGAGCCCACAATATACTTGGTGTAACTACAAGCAAACCTGACTACTTCACTTACCGGAAATAATTATACCTATTTTTATGTAATCTGTGATCAGCTAGTATATACATGTAATGTACTGCATTTTTACTTCAATATCTGGTCATAGATTAAATTAATGTCCATAAAATCATTAAGTCATCATTAACCCGACTTAAATTAACGCTCATTTATCATCAACATTTCAATAAAAAAATTATCATCATCATCATCATCAATTTAAATTTAGTTACATGTTTAACATTGACGTTAAATTCAACATTTTTTTCCTAATATATATGTCAAACATTAGCATTGATCATCACTGTGCATGTACTATGACAGTGATTGAAAATTTTAAATAATGTCAAATACAGCAGATCATCAACAAAAATTAACATTTTTAAAAACAGTCAAAAATTGCTTCAACAAAATTGATTAATAATAAAGTATTCCATAAAGTATTCCAGCAAGCTACAGTGTACGTTTAGTATCACAAAGCTTAGAACACCTGTTTCACTAGCTTTATGCATGTCTTCCTCATCTTCCTCTTCTATATTTCTCATGCCTGTCATCTCAGCTTTTCTAAGTAAAGAACTCAGCAATGAAGACTTCTGTAGATAAGGCTTATGAAGTTCCCAAGTAGTATCCAGTGCATGGACTACCACATCTTTGAAAAAAAAAGAAAAGAAAACACAAATTAATTCAAAACAAAAATTTATTTGTAGGAACTGAAATTATTGTCAATGTGGCAAATGAATATGATTGTGACAAGTACAACATGTGCAATCAAATGTACAGTCAAATGTATCCAACTACTATTCAAGACATTAACTGTACATGTTGAAGATGCCTTTTAATTCATCTGTGGCAAATCTAATATTTGCTTCGAGGGAGCTGTTTTTTTGAAATAATATTGAAGAATCTTTTAAGTGTCTTATGTGTGACTGTCAAGTTTAAACAGTCCTTAAAAAAGGCTATTTTCAGTTCATACAAAGTTCTTCCTTTTCCAATATTTTTTACAATTCCTCAATTTTCAGTGATTCAAGTCTGTGCACGTTATTTTTTTCTTTTCTTTTCTTTGTTTGTTTGCTTGTTTTTTACATTGTTTAATACTTGTGCCTCCATCAAACAACCTCTTTCAGTGATTATGTTCAAATAGTCATGGTGAGTCCTGGGACTCATCTTGCAAAAAATCAGTCCTAGTCCAGAACTATTGAGTCCCAGTTCAAAAAACAACGAGTCCGAAACTGAATTTTTTTTTTTGCGTCTATGTAACCATGCAGATAATTAATCTGAAGACAGACTCCAAAACTCTATTACAGTTTACTGAAATAAAAAAAAAAATCCTTCTGTCGTAAAGCACGACAAAGACTAAAAGAAATATACCTCGTTAAACAACAGCCAAAAGGACAGCCACAGAAATCACACTAACAGGACGTTCTACAAAAACATTTTCAGCTTGATCAATCCATCTTTGCATTCCATGAGACGCATGCCATGAATTATTTTGCATCTTTGGCACTTTTTATGTGTCAGGGACACAGGACGCAGATGTAACAAAATCACTGCCCTTTAATACTCTGAATTAATCTACAATGCCTCCTTGCTAGATAAGCTTTTCAGCTATTTTCTAGGTGGCTTTTTATGTACCTTACATAAGAAATTGTCTTTTTTTAACATCTTTTTTTCTGTGTGTGGTATTAAAATATAGTTCTTGTCTTGTCTTGTCTTGGTCTACAAAATTACCCCCTGTCGGTGTTTTCCAATTTGAAGCCTGCTGGCAGTGGTAAGCTTTCTTTCAACCGATTATTAAAATTTACCAGCAGCTGCCTCTTAGCAACAGTCACTGTGTATGTTGCAGTTAATGTTTTATTTCAGTTAACTTTTATATTTCCTTGTTTTCAAATTCCTTAGCATTCATTACCATACCCAAAAACAATGGAAAAATAAAAATCAACCAAGATAAAAAATTGCAAATTATGTAACTACAGCCATTCCCTGGTTGTATAGTTCTCATAACAAGCACATATATAGTTAATAAATAAAAGTTACTGTAGTGGTAATCAAAATGGCCGCTTAATACCCCGACAGACAGCTAGGTGAAAAAGAAAATTATAAAAAGCAGCATAAAAGGAAAATGTTTCTTGAGCTCAATGTAAATTAACAAATATAATGTACATGTACCATTAAAACACAAACTGACAAAAACCACTAAGGCTTGGCATTTTCCAAAGACAACTCAGCAAACTGGCAACTTTCAATACACTAAGTACTAATAGACATTATAGTGTGTTTTACGTAGGAACATGTAAAACAGTTTACAAAGACAAGACGTTAATATTTCCAACTGAACCTGGACTCCTGAATTTCCAAAAATTTACCCAGCAGGGAAAACCAGTCTACAGAAACTGCACAGAAATTGCGAAGAGTAGGGCATCTGTGAAAACCCTGGTGGTGAGGACAAACTTCAATGGTCTACTGGTGGGTAAAGGAGGGGTTGATATCAATAATATTGGGACAAAATAGTTCTGTTTTATCCCCTGTCAAAGTGTTGATTCACTGTGGTTAAGGCAAAAAATGTGGCCAGCCCAGAAAGCCAATCAGAGTACAGGGTTCTTGCCTGCTTGAAGAGCCAGCAAGTAATAAAATTAATGACAATTATTTTTACTAACGTACATACATTACATGTACAACTGTAAAATGTATAATTAACACATGTATGTTTACCTGGAATTTTATGAGCACCAGCAGTTTGTGACCGATAGAGAAACATTTCCATAGGAGTTGGTGATCTCATGGCTGGGGGGATTACATTCCTCTGGTAGTCAATTTGTTGAAGTTGAGATGAAGAGAGTCCAGAGCGCCCAGCGATCCTACAGAAAGAAGGCATGTGCAGTAGATTAATTGTCCTCTTGTATCTCTGCCACTATTAGTTACAGAGTTCCTGTCACCTTAATGCACATGTTACTTGTCAAAAATGAATTTTATTAATTCCATTAATTTGGGCTAGGAGACAAAGGAAATTGAGAACCAACCTAGGTTAAAAAAATTTAACCCGAATTTAATATTGACCCGTACATACACGTACATGTGGATATATATGTACCTTATCTTTTTCACTGAAATTTACTTTCTGTTCCCCTGTAATCAATTAAAGAAAATACAAAAATACAACAACAAATTACATGTAATTTAATACAAACCTGAAAGAATCTGTTTGTGATGCCGGTTGAGACTGAATAAGTCTTCGATCAAGCTCAGCCTTGATGCGAGTGGAGTTCCCAGGAACCGGTTGAGACTTCAAGAATCTGGGAGAAATCAAGGAACGTAATGGACCTTTGTATGATTTTTCACCGGTAGTGTCAGCATAATTGCAGGTTGCCATTGGACAGTCAGCTGTGTATAGTGAAAAAATTACATAATAATTTTTAGTTATAATAAGTGAAGATTTGTTTCTTTTAGCCTAGGAATGCCTAAAGCTAAATAAAAATAATAAAGGCAAGACTAGTTCCTCATTATCAATCTGGACAAATAACAATCAGTCACTTCTGGGACAATGTTATTATAGTTGTAAAAATCAGTCAAATCTCCTATCAATTACTCCCCTGGGAATTCATAGCAGAGCTATCGTCCATGCATGAAGTGTGCGCAGTGGAGTGCCACAGGTAAGAAAAATTAGCTATCTATGCATCTTCAGGAGAAATTTTGTCAGTCATGTGACCATACATCTGTCTGCCTGTCTGTCTCTCTGCACTACAGGGAAAGCAATGTAAAATGTCCCATTTTCTAGCTACAGGGGCCTGTAACCTGTAATTGACACCCATGTTATGGTCAATTGTCAGCTGTCAAAACAGGGTATCTTCTGACCAGAATCACATGACCATAATATTATCATAAACTCAGGGTCCAACTCATCGAGGTAACATTTTTTTTATAGCTTTCCCGCTGACCAGTTATTAACTTTCAATTGATCACAGGCTCAAGTTTATGTTCTTCAGTGAGTCCTCAAAAGTCATATGGTCCTCCCCTAAAGGCAAGTATAGATCTGTGAATTTCTTTGCAATCGTTCCAGGTTCATTTTCTGATTGAAGTAAGTTATACATGCAGAAACAGGAACTTTGCTTTTAGCTCTGGTTAAATCTAAAAGCAGTCACAAATTGTGGTTGTTTACAAGAATAGACTCTCCTACATGCAAGCAACCATTGATAAAGTTATTACCAGTATATAAATTACATTGTACACTGTGTATTGAGGGCATTCACAAGAGCTTTCAGCTAAAAGCTTTTCATGAACATTGCTAATTTAAATTACATATACATGTACCAATACATTCTGGTGGAAAAATATTAACATTTGTAGTTTCTTTTATTACAGTTGTATTTCCTCTTTCGAAGCACTTGTTAATTGTTATATAATTAGCCTAATTTTACCAGGAATTACAGCTTTTATTGAAATGTTGACCAAGTGGTCACCTAATGAGAACTTCCAACAAAAGTGAAATCTGAGCAGTCTGTAATTCACTAAAGAGACAACAGTCACTTACAACAAAGGTTGCTTAACAAAAGCTTTTCTTTCAAAGCTTTAGTCACAATTCAAACAGGGTTTCACGATGCTGATCATAACTATTGAATAGCTGGCCACTTTCAACAGGGATCACAAAAGGCCAAGAGCTTTGAGTTGACTGTTTCACTTCTTTTGCAACAATAATTATTATAATAATTTTTTAAAACATGTACAAGATGCATGCATACCGGTCATTACAGCCATTATTGAGTCATTGTACGAGCTGGTAACAGATTTTAAGGCTTGAGATGATCCCAGTAAGTCACTACCAAGCAAGTTTGGGAGCCTCCATCGGTTAGTGTAACCAACTTGAATTCTGTGTCTACTGCGTGGTAAAGAAGGTGGCTGAAATAAGAAAATTAGGTACGTGTGAGACTACACATGTACTGTAACTACATCTGACATTGACTCCTAATTATATAAGTGTTTGTCCAAACTGTCCATGTGATAGGAGACAGTAGATTGTACACTTGAATGACAATGTAGTTTATGCAAGTACATTTACTACTGCTTATTATTATTACAAAATCATGTAGTTGACAGAATCAGCTTGACCCTCAAAACTTGATCCAATAGCAGGGGCATATCCAGGGGAGCTGGTTCAAGGGGTTTCAGACCCTCCCCCCCCCCTACTTTTAGGCACTACTGAGTTATTCATGAAAATGCTGTTACAACTGCTCTATACATGTACAGGTTTCAAGGATGCATACATAATATGTGTTTAACAGTCCAGCACATTTTATTTTGAACTACACATTCGTTAACCTAAAAGAAACATGTACTTGCAGTTTGACAAAGCAATCTACCACTCTAGTCTAAGCCTTGGCTGTGTCTTGGCAAGCCTGTCATCTTTAGGTATTGTTGAGTGACTAATGTGTTGTTCTCAAAAATATCCATACACCTCTGGTGGATGGTTAACGGAAATATCCAAATGGAAAGGAAGGCTAAAAGACTGAAATTTCCAAGGGGTAGGGGGTCTACAAATGAAATAATAACTATTTTCTCGAGGGTTATGCAAAATTTGCAATGTGAACATTGTACTCAGATAAAAAAAATAATTTTTTTATTTTAATGTGATAAAACAAAGACAAGGTACAGAGATACTGTATGTGATGACTTAAAGATGACTTGTTTGCCTTTAACAGATCTGTTGTTATTCTATTAAAGGCACACATCTTTACATCTGAAATGTACAGTGCATTATAAAAAATGATCCACAGTGTTACATTCACAGAGACCCAGGGGAAGCCTATTGGGACAATAAGAACTATTAAAGTTCAAAATGTTGCCAAGTCAACAAGAAGAATGTTACAAACCAAGGCAGTTACATATTATTTTTCTCATCAGAAATGCTGATGTCTTGGTCATCCAGAAGCAAGGCTTTCAGCACTTCTTAGGGCCTGTTTACGTGGAGGAAGGGGACCCCAGATAGGTGAGGTAACATGTGGCCGGTCACCCCACCTATCATGTAAACGTGATCAAATTAAAAAGAGAGATTATACGGACAGGCAGGTTACCCCACCTAAGCGGGTTACCTCACCTACCTGGGGTCCCCCACCTCCATGTAAACAGGCCCTAAATATGATTACAGCTGTCAAGAAATTGAACAAAGTTTTCCTAGTAAGAAAATGCCTTTGAAAATGAAACTGAGCAGTTTTCTGCAAATAAAATACACTATAGACCAATGGAAGCATTCAGGGCTCGAACGAAATGTTTCATCAGTTAAACGTTGACCTTCCTTAACACATTGACAATAAGATGCATCTACTGTTTACGTGAATTCCCATGATAGTTTATTAACCAATTAAACTTCCACCTTTTAAAATTAAAGATCTGTTCAAAAAAATTAGCGAAAATTTACCTTTGGAGGTTCTCGTGCATCTGCAACTACGCCAGCAAGGGCTGAATATGGGGCCTCGATAAGAAATCTACAAATAAATCAAACCGCATCAGTCATGCAAGTGTGCTGAAGTATGTCAACAAAGTTCCGCGCGAAATTCGTAGCTGATTCCGAAATGGCAAAATTTCCCGCAAAACTGCACGACAGACGAGTTTTTACCTTGAATAAGAAGGTTTGATGGTTTTTGCAGGTGGCAAAGACGGCAAATACGGACGAGGAAGAGGAGAAGGCGCTCCAGAGAGAACATTATTTCTAAAATGTGCAAAGCTTTCCACATGAACGTCCGCCATCTTTGAGGTTCGAATGGTTTCCACGGTAACCAATGCCAAAACGAGGCTCAGGGATTGGTAACGAGGCTCTGGTTCACGTGAGGCATGAGTACCTGGATGGGTACTGTAAATTATGCCTCGAAATATGAGCTGAAAGAGTCTCCAAACTGGAGCTAAGTACTCCCGAAGAATATTCTGAGAGAATGTTTTAAAAAAGGAGATCGATTAGGGCGTTATTCACTGAGCTGTCCCTTTTTATCTTCCTACCCCACCCCTTTCAAAAAAAAAAAAAAGCTCGTGACATGAAATGCAGTCACATGACAGGCAGGTCACAGGTCTCGCGTGTTCCTATATCATATGTTTTAAATAATTAAGCGCCAACGACCCTGCAAGGGAAAGTTTTTGTTAAAATGCCTTCTTACATCTCTAGCCAACCTGAAATATTTACAAAACCGCCGGAGAAAATAACTTCAGATTGGAGGAAGCCGGGCCAACTAACCGATGAACAAGTGAAACAGTTTTTCGATGAGGTAAGTTACAAATAACTGCAACTTGATCCTTTTATCGAGAAAATTGTTCACTCCTTAAACTCTTCGCTCGATCGCTCGAGTCCTTGTCCCAGCGTTAACTTTGAGAAGCTAACGCTTGCACAACATCAAAACAACATGTAGGACTTTGTGGATTCCCGATCCCTTTGAGGGGTCGATACAAAACATTTTACACCAAGACTGTCAACCCTCTTTCACTTGCTCAAAAAACGCAAATTTAGGTATTTCAAGTTGGGAGGGCAAAGTGAGGAGGGGACTTCGAGTAGGTATGGGTAGGGGTTATTTTAGAGTTCATGGAGAAACAATATCATAAAAAAGCATGACCCATTGCGTTACATTTTTAGGTAACGCGGTATTGTTGTAGATGCGTGACGGCTTGACCTGTGATTGGGTCTATTCGGGATCGGGGTGCAAGATAGGTGCCCATGTGACCGAGCATTACTGGTCTGGTTCTTTTCTGCTTTTTAACACTTTGATATCACCTCAGCCAAAAGAAGAGGTCCAGAAGTAATCAAACTCTGTAACAGCCCCAGACGAAACGTGATTACCCTAGAAAGAACAAATATCAAAAGAAAGCAAGAAAATATAAAAGCCTTATCTTCTCATGAAAGAAGAAATGGAAATACATTGAACTGATATTAGCGTGGAATTACGCTGCGGCGCAGGCTCGTCCTTTAGACGCATAGGCGTACGGGCAATTTTTTGCTAGGGGGGGCAGTAAACCATTTGCCCAAAAAATTCTTGTAAGTTGCCCAAATTTTTACAAAACAGTCGAACAGAAACGAGGGCCATACGATGCAACAACATAGGCCGTACTAGCATATGAAGGTGGCTCGATACAGTTTTTCAGGGTCAATACCATGACGTGTTTTTGAGCATAGACTACGCCACCATAAACAAACATTTGGAAAAATTACCACCACAGTTGTATTAGATAAAGACGAAAATTTGTTATGATCCGGGTTGCAATAACATCGGAGTTGTCATAGCAACAAAATGACGCCATTACCTATTATACTTGCAGCAACATTTCTCACTGGGAACTGCTCCAAAATCGTTCACGGGAGCATTTTCCTCCAATAGTTGACTCGATGTTCGTGAACTTAAAACAGAATCTGTAACAGCGTTGCGGAGATATTTTGGGATAAAGTTTTCATCGTTAGAAATACGGTAAAAAAAAGGAAAATCTTGATGTTTGTCCGTTATCTGTAGAAAATGAAGCGCTTTTGACATGCAATTTCACCTCATAGTAGTTTCAATCTTTTGAAAAACGTGGGTGAAAGATCATGGAGATAGCTCTGGCCAATTGCTACAAAAAAAGATTTGATTAGTATGTATGATGGCGCTCTTGTTAGCGGTTTTGTAAACATTTCGGTCTACTTTAACAAATTAGTGAATAATTTTTAAACCACTCGATAGATTTTTTTTTAAAAAATCAAGATTCTTCGCGTAATTCAAACTGAGAATTAGTCAGCCACTTCTTCACTTTCAGACCCATTGCTGCTGCTATCTGCCATACACTGTTCTACGAGCGGAGATGATTCTAGAAAGTTAGGCGGAAGTTTATTCTAATCAATTCACCACTGGAAATAGCCCATTGCAGCACAGTGCCCAACAATAAAAAAAAAATCAGCACATGATACCCTTCCCTTATAGCCAGAAACTCATTACGTGCTAGGCAACCAGTCTCGTGTGAATGTAACAGTACTGGATTATTACGCCAATTTCAGGTTAAAATAGAAAATATTTATCTCTTCAAAATAATGATTTAAAATCACGGAAACGTCTTTAAAAACTGGCTTTGCCCAAATTTTCTCTCGCTGCCCAAAAAATCTGAGTTGCCCAAAATTTGTGGGGGCTGCAGCCCTCCTCGCCCCCCCGGCCCGTACGCCTATGTTTAGACGTGGACTAATATAAAATCTGAAAAAGTGACGGAAAATTAGCTAACCTTCGATTAGCCGGCCCTTCTTTCCTTTTTGTTTTCCCCTTTTCCCGAAAAAAAAAAACAAACAAAAAAAACGCCTGATCGCAGGTTAAAAATTTGCGCGACGAAACAAAGCTATTTGCTATTTCCGTTATTTCCCCCGGCCATTTGCCTTTGGGGTCTCTTTCTACATATTTAAAGTGAGTTGCTCAAGTGTCTAGGAGTATATATAGTTGTCCCAATAAAATTGAAAACACCAAAAAAAAAAAAAAAAACCTCGACAGGAGCCTGACCCTAATCACGGGTTCCTGCTCGTGGGTTCCTGACTGATGAGCCACTCCTGAGAAAGTGATCATGAACACATGACCGGAAGCTCAGACTCACGGATTATGACACGGAAGCAAGCTGATGAGTGTCTGTACAGATACTTAAATATTTGGGAAGGTGCGAAGAAGAGCCAAACCGAACAGAAGCTTTATCAGACACAGGACCTTGTGGTGTATGTGCTTGCTGGAAGCGAGATACAACACGAGCCTGAGAGACCAACTTTACCACCGCGCTCGGAAGAGCTGCTGCTAGAAGGCCGGGTGTTAGCGGGCAAGACTATTTCAGTTATTATGTACTAGCACTATTAAACAAAGGTTAAGCGTGTGGTTGCATTAAGAACTGCAAGTCTATTCATTTAACTCATCCAATGTAAGATTATTATGTCGGTTCGGTTTTTATTATTAATATATCTTGACACTGCCCATTTTTAAAACCCCCTTATAACTAGACTTGCAACACTGAAGTGTACTGCGTAAGGGCGGAAAAGGGCATTGAGAAAGTCTACCTTACAACTTATGTGTGTACTTTATAAACAACAGAAAAGTTAAATAAAATAGAGAAAGAGAGAAAGAAAGCAAGAGAAAACTGTAGAGAAAGGGGAAAAATCACCCTTCTATCCTCTCATCTCTTCATCCTTCCCCCACCCCTTCGCTCAGCTGTCTATTTCGCGCCGCAGGGTCTCCAAAGCCTGGAAAAAACTAAGTAAAGACATCTCCTCTCGCCGGCACACAGGTTACTGTCAGACCACTGGAACAAGCTACAGATGTAGATGCTGTAAATACGGAGCTTAAGAAAATTCGTTTTTGAGCGACGCACGTCAACCGGAAGTGAGGTCTTTTTCATTTTAAAGCACCTTGACAACACCAAATTTGTATTTCTTAGTGTCTTTACTATTATACGGATGATTTGTCTAAAAATTTGGGCAAAACCACCGTCCAAAAATACAAAATAAAACACTTCCGGTTGACGTTGGTCGTTTGACTCCTATATATGCAGATGGTATACTGTGGTTCATACCAGGAGCCCATAACCCGGAGCGAGCAACTCCCATACTAGGCCTATCTCACGGCGTTTTTACGGACCGGTAATTTTTCCGGCGAAAATGGAATCTCCTCCACGTCTATGAACGCACTCGAAGTGTAAGATATCAAAAAAGAAAACGTAACGTCATCAAAAGGCAAAAATTATCATTTTTAGGCCTGTAGGTTTTGCTGACTGGTTTGTGGGACTTAAAAGATATTCTAAATTCGCGCCAAAACGTACCGTTCTAAAAATAAACTGGTCCGTGAAAACGTCGTGACACGAGTACATGGAAGTTGCTCGCTCCAAGTTATGAGCTCCTGTTCATACTCATCAGCACTGTATATGTAATTTATTTTACAGGGGTATGTGTTGGTTCCGCAGTTCTTTGAAAAAAGTGAGCTAGAGTCTGTTATCGCAGCCATTTGCGAGCTGGTTGATCAACTGGCAGATAAACTCTACGATGCTGGAAAGATTCAAGGTAGACTATTTTAAAAAGCATGTAAACTTAAAAGTCAAGTTAAGAAAACAACGGGTACTCCCTTGTTTTTGTCCCCTCGAGCGCGCTAGGACTCGCCTCCAACAAGGAAAGAAGAAACGCACCCACGATATTTCCTACTGTACCTTAGGACAACAAGAGACTTATTGTGGTCTATTCGAATCAAAGCATGGACAAATCCTTTTCGCAACGTTTCCTCACCTGATGTACAACTGAGGATCAAGCTGTTATGTCTTTTCATAGCCACTTTTTATAGATGGCCAACACTAAAACCTAGAGCACACCATTTTAAGAGTACAAACTAAAATTGTTTTGGATAATCCAGTTAGCGGATAATGGAAACACACTTAAACACACTCTAATAATAATAATAATAATAATAATAATAATAATAATAATAATAATAATGATAATAATAATTTATTACATTTAATATAGCGCTTTAACTATTAAAATATTCTAAAGCGCTTTACAATATGTACAAGAAAATAAAGATATATATACAATAAATGGACAGAAATAATAATAGTAATAAGAATATAAAATTACAAATTAAAAGCTTTCTTAAAAAGATAAGTCTTCTACTGTAGTTTAAAAGAGTCAATGTTCATACAGCTTCTAAGGCTAGATGGCAAAGCATTCCATACTGTTGGTCCAGCATAGAAAAAGGCTCGATCGCCAAAAGTCTTCCGTGTCATCTTAGGGATTACAAGCAATGTTTCAGAATAAGACCGCAGGCTGTATCTAGTTCTAGGCTTTACAACAAGTAATTCAGATAAATATTGTGGCGCCAGGCCGTTCAACGTTTTAAGAACTAAAAGCGCAATCTTAAATTCTACCCTAAATATCACTAGCAACCAATGAAGTTCCCTAAGTCCCGGAGTAATATGGGCACTTAGGAATTAAGCATGTAACCCGAGCCGCCGCGTTAAGAACTTTTTGAAGTCGGTCATATTGATATTGCGGAAGCTTATACAAAAGAGCGTTGCAATAATTTAAATGAAATGTAACAAACGCATGAATCAAACACTTTGTTGATTCTGCAGACAGATATTTCCTAATTTGCCTAATATTATAAAGCCCCCTAAAAGCCTTACTACACACCTTTCCTATATGAGTATTCATAGACATATGGTTATCAAACCATGTGCCAAGATTTCTAACATGCTTAAGGGGTTGAATGTCACAGTCTCCAACTTTTATTGAAGCCATGGTAACCTTAGATAATTGCTGCGACGAACCGATGATTAGAAATTCTGTCTTTGAATCAACCTGTGTGAGACTAACCGAGCCCTAACATAAGCTATGCAGTTCTCAAAAGCCTTAATCGCTTGATCTTGAGCAGCAAACGAATCTGGACGAAACGACACGTACAACTCAGTATCATCTGCTTACGCATGAACTGATGGAAGGTGCTTCTTAACAACCTCAAAAAGCCTTGATGCATACAATAGAAAAAGGACAGGTCCCAAACACCTCCCCTGAGGAACACCATAATTTAATTTGAAAGTCTTGGAGGACTCCTGATTAACAATTACACGTTGTACCCTAAAAAAACGGTTTACAAGAGTTGAAATGGTTCTAGTATATATATTGATCTAGCGGACAAAAAAGTTTCATCAGTACATACATTACTTTATTTCTTTGTTAAAGGCAACATTTTTCTTTTGGTTTAGATAAACACAAGGATGCGTCATTTTATGAGAGACTGATATTGATCGAAAAGCAATTTCCGGGAGCTGCAGTACTGCTTCATAAGCATGGAGTTATGCCAAAGGTAACCAGAATAACCGAGTTTTTACAATTACAAGTCATAAGAAATTTGTTGGAAATCTGGATAGTTTTTGCGGGAGCGAAGGAAAAATGCTGATTTGAAGGATGGTGGAGGGGGACTGGGAAGCAGGGTGGTGGAGACAATAATGGAAACAAGTTTAAAACATAAGCCCCCTCCCCCTCTTATGTACACTTATAAAGTAGAGAAGTGATTTTTTTCTTGGAGTGAAATATAGTAGCTTTCGTCATCAGCTTGTTTCCAGACGAATTTTGTATTCCGCTTATACGCCCTCAACCCCCTCATGTAAGCTCACTTTAAACCCCTCGTGAACTCGTATGAGCCAAGCTAGCGCTTATGGACGGAAATTTTAACTGTTTTTTTTTTCTTTCTTCCTTTTTATTTTCCTCTTTTTGTCAAATACTACTGGGACTCACTAAACGACCGTCGTCACCTTTTCTCTACGTAGGGGATGCAACAAGTGTTGCAAAATGTTGGGGTATTTGGTCAGGTCTTGGTCAGATGCATTAATTATAAAAAAAAGCAGTGAAAAACCCCGTATTTACGAAACATAATGCAAGCAACTCCAGGTATTGAATGTTGTTTTACCATTTTGGCCTGGCTCACATGTTGGCAGTTAATAGGCTTTTCAAGACTTGTGGAGCAATGAACGACTTTTGAACGTCATCGAGCAGTTTATTGGACCCGATATAGCTGGTCATCCTGTGTGGAACTTAAGGACGAAGGTAAGTGTCCTGATACAGCTACCCATCCTGTGTGGAACTTAAGGACGAAACAGGAGCAACTCCTGGACAAAGGTTATATTCCGCTCTGCTCGCTACGTGTCATGGCGCCAAGCCTTTTATTATTCCCCGGCCCATTCTCGCCCCATATAAGGGAGTACAAGACAGTCTTGGATTTTGAATTCCACGCTAAGGATTCCGGATTCCAGGAACTGGCCTCCAATTTTATGTCGGTGGAACTTGGATTCTGGATTCCAGTCGTTAGTGGGATTCCGGATTCCTTGAGCCGTAGTCCGGATTTCAAAGCCAAGAATTCCTCGAATTCCACAAGCAAAAATTTCCCGGATTCAGGATTCCCTCATTTGGGGTGACCATTCCATATATGGAGGACAGGTTACACGCAGCAAAACTAGACAGTTAAATCTTCTATAAAGGCTCGTTAGGTAACTAAAAATGATGACTAATCTCCTGATGCTGATGTGTTATTATTTTATTTTGGCAGACTCCAAAAAACACTCAGGTGACCGTGCCTTGGCATCAAGGTAAAACTGTTCTTATAGTTTCAAATAACAAAGTCGAGTATTGATCATGTATGCCTCGTCTGCTTCGTCTTGAAAAGATGGTTATCCATGAGAAAATGTCTTTCTTGCCCGTCTTTGCAAACTGGTATTGTTGCCTAAATCCGGTAGTCATGAAGGGGACCCCTATATTTTAACCAACCTATCTTAAATTAATTCAACTTAAATTCAAATTATAATGAGTGAAAAGATTTTTAGCGACAAAGTCATAGAGCTGTACCTATTTTCGGGTTAAAACTTCTCGCAGCGGCAGATTTTGTGATCATATAAGTTGTTTGCTACCATTATCGTATACCGACCTTCTTATCTCACTTCTGATGTATTTTATTTCTTTCCATTAATTTCATTTCATCCATTTGTTCATTTTTAACAAGTTAACGCTGACTTAGTTACGACATTCATTGGTATTGCCTAAATACGAAGGGTAAATAAAATCCAATTTGTTAAAATTTATTCCAGACTGCGCGTACTTGTCATCAGAAGCCTGTGAAATTCTTCAGCCTACAGCTTGGATTCCTTTGTTAGATACAAACAGGATGAATGGTTGTATGCAGGTAAAGCATACCTTAATGTCCTTTTGAAGACTACTTTCAGTCGGTATCTTTACAAAAACAATCCTTTTTGCTCAAAATGCTCACAGGAAAAACAAATAACGATATAAGAACGGATTTTAAGATGACTTCTATTTCCATGGATAATGCGTTGAAGAGATGCACAACTTGCTCAAGTCACGAGTCCATAACCCTGAGCGAGGAGCTGCCATGCCCTGGTGTCACGGCGTTTTCACTGACAAGTTTATTTTTAGAGCTATTCTGGCGCGAATTTAGAAAATCTTTCAAATTCCACAAACCAGTAACCAAAACCTTGAGTCGTCAAAATGGTATTTTTGTCCTTTTAATGACGTTTACTTTGCTTTTTTGATATCTTATAGCTCGAATGTACTAATGGAAGGAGCGGAGGTCCATTTTCGTGGGAAAAAGTGCCGTTAAAATGTATCAGGAGCTAAAAATCTATCGATCCATGAGAATTAAGGCAGTGACATAGGCCTAGGTGTAGGAGGATTTGGAGTATCAAAGAAAACGGTGCAATGGGGGCCCAACGAGTCGAGCTGGTTAATGGAAGCTCATATATCCTTAACTTGATAATCTTTGGTTCCCTCAGGTAGCACGGGGAGGTCACAGGAAAGGTACACTAGCGACACACACCTGCTGTGCAGGGGATACTTGGTATGTTGACCTTGCTGAGGACGAAATGAGAAAGACATTAGGTAAGACCCTGGGAAATTTGAGGATTTAAATTTTAATTGAACCGTATCGATCGTCATTTTCTTCTTTTCTTCCTGTATCCTGTGGCTTTACAGAGTATTGAGGCCAGGGTTGCGGTATTCAATGATGAGCCCCTATTTTCCCCGAAGCAGCATAAGCCATATCAGTCTTAAGTAAAATCTATAATATGGTTGTGCAAGTTCATACCCACCAACAGCCCTATTTATTTCATCAACTTGGAATTTTATTCTGTCTCATTTTAAAACCTACACATTCTTAACCTCTAATATAATGCAAATGCTGACATCAATTAGGTTATCGGGCCCAAAAATACATAGGGTCTTCTTATGAGTCCCAAGTTGAAGCGAAAAAGGTGACTGGCAGATATAATAGAAACGCTATCATTTATTACTATAATAATAATAATAATAATGATGAAGATGATGACGATGATGATGATGATGATAACAGGGGTGCCAACGTTCCTCACTTGCAGCCAATTGCTGAATTACGGGGAAACCAGAGAGGTGAGATCGAATGTAAGCATGTATTAAAGGCGCACTATGCAGCCGCGTCATTTCATGTTTGGTCTCACCCCACCCACCCAAACCAATGACGGCAAATGTCAGATAGACTATGACACCGGCGCCTACGTCCCTCACTAGTCTTTCCATCAAACGTCATTTGATTCTTTGAATTAGGTTTTGCAGAAAGATCAACTTTACTAAGAAGTGATCCTGTTTTTCTCAATTTCATATACGATAGATGTGGATTTCGAGAGAGACATTGTGCTTTGTGAAGTTCCTTTTGGAGGAGTTCTGTTTATTAACAATCTGGTGCCACATAGAAGGTCTGTGTCTTAGTATGTGTTCTTTTCTCCTTCTTGACTTTTAAAGTGGCTATGTCACAAAGTATCCGATCCCATCTTTCTAAAAAGCTACAAAAAAGTCTTCGCATCAATTCAAAAGGAATGGGCCAGTTTTGTTATTTAAGACTTTTTTTGGCACCGAATCTGTTCCCTGTCGTCTTTTGCTACGCGTGGTAAAAATCAACATGAATTGAAATTTGAAAAGCAAGAGCACTATTTGTATATTTGGGCAACGGTACTGAGTGTAAAGACTTCAGCAAAGAATTGATTGACCAGTAAAACATTCATATCCTAAGGTCCGATTAACTAATTTCGCGCATATTACCGGTCAATATGCGCAGATGGAGTCATAGCTGGAGCTGGATGCGTCATGGCAAAATGGTAGGCGAAGAGAAGTTTAAACTTAGTCACAGAGTCCAAACAATAGGTCAACAACAACCGAGAAATTCTGAACAGCTATCTCTATTACGAAGACAGCTGTGTCTTGAATGCTGTCTTTTAAAATGAGATGAAAAAAAAAAAAAGTGTTGACTACATGAACTGGCTGCACTCTTCTGTCACCCCCTTAGCCCTGGTCTTAAGATCAGATCTACTTGTACTGTTTTTCTTGTTCGAAACACTAAGTGAAGTACACATGTTTATTGAACAACATTGCCCTCAACTGATTTGCCGATGATTTCTAAACAGTTTAATATGTCGACTTACATTTTAGTCTGGAGAACGTTTCAGACAAGATTCGATGGAGTCTGGATCTGAGGTGGCAAAGACCTGATAAACCCAATGGTTTTTATGGCCTCAAGGTACGTAAGTTTTCGTACAACCAATGAAATGCATTTTCAGTCCTTGCCTGGTTCAGCCCAGGCCTCTAGTCTAACACAACAGAACTCAACACAACAACAAAAACAACAAAAAACAACAAACAAGTTTATTCAGTATTACCATTTTGTACAGGTGTTACCGATTAAAATAACAACAAACAGCTAAATTTAAGGAAATGAAGATATAATGGAATGGTAGAATTAATTATGTTTCTTTCGTCTTTCAAATGCTTGAAAGACGAAATTAGCAGTTAGCCTCCTGTTATGTGAATCAGTGTTGTTAAAAAGAAAACAGACTTTATCAGGGATATTGTAATTTGTAAATAATATATTTCGGTCCTTGATTTTAATAAAAGGGTCTTTCTCAAAACACTATAACATAGCTCCAATCCTTATTGTTTAGGTTTGACGGTAATTTCTCACTACCTAGACCGTAATCTGAGTTTGTACATGAAAGCAGACTTGACTTTTCAGCAAACGAAAAAATACTTAAATCACCGCACTAACTGGCTTCACGGGACTGTGGCATAAGGCCTTAGTTCAGCCCATCTGTTTGTTACTTTGCCAAAATGAAATCGCAAATATCAAAAACACTCAAAACCAGCACTTTACGCCTTCAAACGTGTCTCCTGATAGCAAGTTATAATTCCGAGTTACAAGCAGTGAAGAGTAAAAAGAATAACTTACTATCATAGTTCACAGTTGCAATCCTTTTCATTCTTTGCTTTGTTTACCTTGATGGTAAACTCCGTTCAGGAACCTTCTTTGGGTTGACAAACCTCTCGGGTTTTTTAGGAGAATATTTTACTCCGGACATCAAGCGACCCTAACTATGTGGTAGACTGGGAAGAATTTGCCTCACGTGACAGAACAAAATTACAGCGAGCTCATCCAGACGTGCACGCCAAAATGGAGAAGGTAATAGCATCATTTTAGCATAAACCAAATGTCAGTTTGTACTTGTAGTTTATGGCTGTTTCATCAAGGGTAGACTACGAGTAGTCCCCAGTTTTCCTCAGGGATAGTAGAGCGAGCGAAACGCGAGCGCGCGTGAAAATCGCCCCGCCGCGTGTCGCCTTTTCTGGCGTGAGGTGATTTTCTCGCGCGCTGGCGTTTCGCACGGTCTACTATCCCTGAGGAAAAATGGGGGACTACTCGTAGTCTACATCAAAGGTAGCCCAAGCTCGAAATATACGCGTCGGCACTGTTGTGTAATCGCTTGAAATACAATTTGTACGGGAAAAAACGATTGTTTCTGTAACCAACGAACTTCTTTGAGAGAGCAAACCGGTCATACTTCGAGCTTTGAGCTCGGGCTACCTGTTGTTTCATCCATAATTATTTGTTTGGACAGTTTTTGTGTGCTAGTTTGCCTAAATTGAGAAATTGTCTAGTTGAATCCCACATTTTCCGTTTTTCGTATTAAATCTTGACTCTAGTTCCGTTCTGCGCATCTCTCAACGCCGAGAGAAAAAGCTTCCGCGCAGAAACGTCATTAGATCAGAATAACTTTTTTAAAAGAAGATATGATCGTCACAATGTTGATTGCAATTTAAGCAATTGCAAATAAACCCGAATAAATTTCTCGGGACTTCAACAGGATTCGAACCCATGCGTTAGCGCTGGAGTACTCTACCATTTGAGGTATGAAGACCCATACATTGGAAGCAGGCCAATTTGTTGAGTTCATCTTAACCAGTGAAACTTGAATGAAGCATGCATGGAGATGATGTGAACTGCAGAAATACAAATTTTAAATGAAGATACAATCTATCGTCGATTGAACGAAAATTTAATGGAAAACTAGAGAATCAACGAACACTTTACATTCAAATAATTGATCCTTGTTTTTCACGTTAGGTATTCCCGCCAATAACATGGCTCCTGCCTTATATACTGAAACCACACACGATCCACACATCCCTCTGATTCGCTCTGACGAACGGCTAGCGCTCGAAACGTTAGCTTCTGTCTGGTCTCCCGAAGGTGGCCAACTACCTTATCAACTCAGTTCATAAAAGGTGATGTTACATGGGACGATTCGCAACGACGATTTTTAGCGCAACACATCGTTGCAATGTTGCAACAATGCTGCAACCTTCCAAAACAATATCACAACAATGTTGCAAAGCTGAATTGTGGTAAAAATCGTCATGCGAATTGTCCCTTGTCACATCAGCTTAAAACTTTGTAGTTCTGTCTATTTTACGCTCCAACTGACGCAACACCACAGTTCCTTTAGAGGCAAGAGAGAATGATGGGAAGGCGGGGGAAACGCCCAGTCTAGTCCTTGGGATATGTAATTTCACCAAAGTTATTTTTAGACCAGATAATAAATCGAAAGTTGGTTTCCGGAGAGGTCCGCAAAATTTTATTCGGTGTTTTCAAGAGAGAATTCAATTGCTTGCCTAGCTGGCGGGATTAGCGTGGGAGTGCTGTTTTGCCGGCGGAGCCACGATAACATAACATTATAGATAAGAGATTTTAGAAAAAACGTCTGCTGAACCTCTACAGCTGCCATGTAGGTTCTATCCAATAAAACAGCGTCCTAATCGAAATATCTCAATGTCATTTGTGGTGCTTCCATAGATCTTGATTTAAGGAAAGAATCCTTTTGAAAGAAGGTTTGTATCAGGATAGTTTATTTTTGATCATTGTCATAACAGGGTGATATCCAACTAGACAAAGATCCTGAGTTTGACACCACAATTGTCGGTCCGTGGATGGGGAAATGGGAAATAGTTCACCACAACAAGCGTACTGTGCAATACAAAGACCCTGAAGATGATACAGAGACCTGGACCAACTATCAGTCAACGTGGACTAAAGCATGATTAAGTAAATGATTTCCAGTGTAAGAAGATTCAGAAATTTTTACCAGTATTCAACGGGGGGGTGGCGTTGGGGGTTAGCACTTGGGTTGTTTTAGTTTATAAATATCTGGGAATGACACTGAACCCGTATGGAAATTTTAGTTTAGCTAGAGAAGAGTTCAAAAAGTTGGGCTTAAGGCAGTTTATAAACTAAGAAAAGAGATGGGTGACAACTTTAGAGAAAATATTATGCTCACAATTAAGACGACTGTTTTTGCAGAATACCTCGGTCTGGAGGCCAACAATTCGGGTTAGTGAAACAAAGCCACGGAAATCCAGATTCAAGGACTTCAAGCCAAATACCCTCTGTCCCTTAATCTGCTTAACAGTACTGAATACCCCCCACCCCCTATTCAATTATGCTAACAATTAAGCTATTCGATGCTCTGATATCCCCCATACTTCTCTAGGGAAGTGAAATTTGGGGTGTTGACTGTAACGACCAAATAGAAAAAGATCCCGCAGAATTAGTTAAATTCTTGAAATGGTTGTTAGGTGTCAATAAATACTGCAGCAACAATGCATGTACGGCTGAAACAGGAAAATTCCCGATAAAAATCGAAGCACATTATAGGAATTTTAAGTTTTGGCTAACTCTAACCAAACACCCAAAACACAAATTATCACAGGTGGTTTATAATGATATGAAGTCGAGGATGAATAAGGAATTATGGAGCCAAAAAATCAAACGCGTATTAGACCAAATAGGGCTGGAATGCCTCTGGACAAAAGCACATGAAAATGACATAGGAATCTTGAACATTATCAAACAAAGACTGAAAGACATCGAATTACAAAGATGGTTAAGTGACGTAAACAATGACGTAAGAAAAGACGCCAACCAAAAGAACAAACTAAGAACCTTTCGAAAATTTAAAACAATAGAAAATTTTAAATGTAAAGATTATCTCCGTGAGGTCACCAACATTCGACACCGGATAACTCTAACTAAACTCCTTCTAAGTCATCACAAATTGCATTGGCGATAGAGACAGGTCGGTATGTAAGACCTTATAAGAAACCGGAAGAGAGGATCTGTCCTATCTGTAAAAAAGACGTAGAAGATGAAATACACTTTTTAACTCTTGTGCCCTGCGTATCAAGAAAAAAGAAGTACTTTATTTGAATACTTAAACAAAGGATACAGAATATCAGTAAACAGAATGGCACCAGATGATGTTTTTCTGTTGTTAATAAACCCTTCGAGCAAGAACAAACCAGTGCAAAAGTTAATTGCAAAATACGTATTCGACTGCTATGAGAAAAGAAGTTCATTAGTTGTTTAGGTTAACATTGATTATAGTTCCACTATTGTGCAATTTGTGTTATGATTTTAAATTATTTGGATAAAGTCGGTGTACATAGGACTGTATAAGACTCTAAATAAAGCGTTGTCTTGCCTTGTCTTGTCTTGGGTATGTGCCGCTGGCCTCTCGGGGCCCCTACCCCGTTATAGTCTATTCTGTGGCCAATTATAGACCCCATCTTAGTCACTTTTGGCAAATGTACATTTTCGAGATCCCAACTTAGTCGTTTGCTATTCATGTATCTACCTTATCAATCCTTTATATGGGTCATCCTAAAATTAATTGACCCATTTTTGAAATTGAATGAAGAACACTTTACTTTTCACCTACAGTACAAACATTCTGGTACGTTTGTTAACCTTTTAAGGTTAGCAAACGTACCAGAAATCCGAAAATGTACGACCCCATTTTAGTAACTCTAATGAAAATGCGACCCCATTATAGTCAGTCCAGTCGTGAAAATGCGACCCCATCCAGAGGCACATCCCCATTAGTCACATTAGCCTTTTATAAGGAAGTAGCCATTCACCTGCCAGAAAGCTTTGCTCGGAGGGTGGGCTTAGAGTAGTCAAAGGTTGGGTTATGTTAGTCCTCACCTTGTCCTAAATTTTCTCCCGCGAACAATGTTTAGTGATGAGCTTCTGTGCCGATGATTTAAAGTTTTTGATCTAAGGAGATCAGACCAGCTCTGAAATCAGAGGAGCGTGATAGAAATTTAAATTTATGAGAAGAATAATGGATTTCTGAAGACTAATGAAACAATTCATATGATGATGATGATGATGATGATGATGATGATGATGATGATGATGATGACGACGACGATGATAATGATGATGATGATGATGGTGACGATGATGATGATTTTCTGATACTATTTTTCTTGAAGTTTTGCAATATAACGCCAAATAAAAGCGAGTTTTCGCTTTTATTTACGGTATAACAACAAAATCGGACTTTTCTGTTGAAGTTATAAAAAGATTATAGAACTTATGAGTCTTATCTCAGGAGATATTTTTCTTGTCAGCTTTTCTATCACACTTTTTATGCTGTTTTTAGAACTTCTTTCTAGTCTTAGCTTGCGGCTACTGGTATACCAGAAACAGACTTTTTGTCCACCGACAGTCATTACTTTCAAAGAATTTACTCCGCATGGGAAAACAGTCAAAACAGTTTTTAATTACGACCAATTAAGGACCCACGCATAGCTTGCCACGTCAATTTTCTGTTGTTAGAGATAAAGGACTTATACACCTTGGCGTTGCCTGTGAAAACAGTCGTCTCTCCTTCCTCCTCGCCGCTGAGACTTTAATTTTCATGGGCGAAACCTCCCTTGCGGCGACGACTGTTTTTGCAGACTACCTTGGCCTGGAGGCCAACAATTCGGGTTAGTGAAACAAAGCCACGGAGGACCAGATTCAAGGACTTCAAGCCATATACCCTCTGTCCCTAAATCTGCTTTAACAGTACTGAATACACCCCCCCAAAAATCAACCACCATTCGTAAGTGTCAGAACACGGCGAGTTCTAAGCTACCCTTCAAATACCCTGTTGCTAGAGCGTTTATTTTTTTTTAGCAAATTTTCGAATTTCGAAAAAGACAAGAGGAAATTCCTTAGTTAGGGGGGTTGTTCGAGGCGTGAGCTCCCACGAGTTAATTTTTGTCGGCCCACCTGTACCAACAAGAAAGTTTTTCCTGCCACCTCTAAATGTCTATGACAAATACCAGACACTTTGTATTCCAGAAAGCCTGCAGAATTACTAAATATCTTTCATATCAGTGAACTGATATTCCAAGTAGTGCATTAAGATCACTGCAATTGCTATTAACTTAAATAAGGCAATTTTGAGTCAAATACTGCATCGTTCATTCAAGGCAATCGCTCATATTGACTTCACAATTTATGATTACATGACCAACGGAAGGAAAAACTAATGAAGTGCTAGACACGCCCCCCTGGTTTCTACCCCCCTCACAAGATTAAGGCATTAACACCTTGGTAAATTATCCAGGCAGGTAAAACACTTTTCAATTGATAAAAAGTTGACAGCGCTAATCAGCTAAATGTGTTTAGGAACGAATAAAAAGTCTACATTAAGCACGTGAATCGTTCGGGGCTTTGGAGTGGAATGTTTATATGAACTAACAACGTCCAGCTATTTGTATACAGTGTGTATGTCTTCGCAGAAATGAATTGCACTTTAAAACAAGTATGTGGTGTTGAACCCGCCCGATCACCATTCGACCTGATTCGAATCATGACTAGCTTAACTTTCTCTATTTCTTCATCCTTTCCAGCAACTCAGAATTTTTTTGATTCTTTCAACGCTAAATTTTCCGAAATCCCAGTTTCTGTTTTCTCTGGGAGGTTCGAAAAAAACTACTATTCCACTTTATCAACAACAGCAAAATACATTTGCATTTTTCGTAAGTTTTAACACAAGGAACTGATGAAGAAGGGAATTGATAACATTTACCAGTATCATTAAAACTTCATCTCGCCGATAATGATTTTGGTTCTTTTCATCCTTTGATTTTGTTTATTTTTTTTTTTACATCTTTAAATTTTTTTTTTCAGTTACTCGATTATTCAAACTTTTGCACTAGTGGTTCTACAGAAATTACTTGTTAGTCCACCGAAAAGGAAATGAGTGAGATTTCAACCCGAGACTCAAAACTTACACACACAAAAAACAAATGACACCAAGTGAAAGTGCCACTAAGAGGTTTCATGCGACGGGTTCATACCCTGGACTCAGAGGTTCTTCTTGAAATTTTTCTCCACGTGAGAGAGAGCAAGCCACGACTACGCTACGACTCGTTTTAGCCGCCTTCCCCCCTCGCTCTCCCTCATGCTCATGCGTAGGAAAATCTCGAGAAAAACCTCTAGGACCAGTTTATCAGATTCACTGTTTCACATTAAATTTCTTTTATCCCTTTAAACCCTAAGATCAAAGCATTTGAATTTTTTTTGAATTAGTTTCCCCACTCGTGTTCGCTATGTGCAGTGAAACAAAATGCTAAACATTGTCTTCTGGTCTGACGCGCGTATTTGCGGCTGTAGGAGAATCTACGACCCCTACAATATACAGTGAAAATGTTAAATGATTCATCAATTTTAAAAATATGTTTTTAGAGACCTTTTACTGTCCGGAGGGTCAGCAATTAGTAACAAATTGATAATTCCGGTTGCAATTCGTCAGACCGGATATCGTCGCTGCTTGCGAAATAAAACTCATGTAAAATAATGGTGTGATCCAACGATACTCAGAAACTTTAATGAGTAACAATAGAAGTTTCTTCGCTTCTTCGCTTCTTTCTCTTCAGCAGCGCTCTTTATACAGTTCCAAGCGTTCCAGAGAGGTGGGGCATTAAACGTATAAGGCTTCAGCAGATTTATCGTGGAGTGTTAGCATTTGCATGCATTTTTTTTTAGTCTCTGAATGAAATTTTATGGTCCGGTATACTGATCGTTCGGCGTTCAAAAAAACCTAGTTGCCGGCTTTTTAACATGGACATCGGTGACATTTTTCAGTATTTTGCAAAATGGAAATTTAGATTTTCAATTCTTTTATTTTTATGTAATTCAGTCTACCGGTTAAGTGTTAACAGGAACAGAAACTCATAAGGGGAGTTTCTGACAGGAACTAATG